AAATTATATGCTGTGTTTTCATTATCATTCAGCTTCATTCTTTTGAAGTGTAGGAACCTGAAAATACCTCCCAGTTTCAGAGCAAAAAAGGAGAAAGCTAATTGAATTTTGGTTGAAAACCGTTGCAAGTATTTTAGTCCAAATTATTTGATAATCAAATTTTACTTCTCTCAAGAGCAAACATACTTCTGACTTTATTGTCATTCTCATGCACTAAATGTAGGAGTGTGTCATTCTCAGCACATTTATAGTGTACTGTATGTGAAGTAAGTCATTACTTAGTGGTTCTTCTTTTAGAGTTGTGTAAATTAGGTTATAGGGAAAGATATTGGCAAGATAAAACATGACATTTTGGGGGAACCTGGGAGACTCAGTTGAGTGTCAGACCTGACCTCAGGTCATGATCTCGCAGTTTGGGAGTTTGAGCCCTGTGTTGGGCTCTGTGCTAACAGCTCCCAGCCTGGAGTGTACTTCGAATTCTGTGGCTCCATCTCTCTCTTTCCCTCTCCCACTCATGCTCTATCTCTCTCTTAAAAATAAACGCTTAAAAAAAAAATTTTAGGTGATATTTTTGTTGCTGATGTATATACTCAGTTAACTCCTCTTTTAAATGAGATTTAATTCCATAGCTTTTATTGCTTCTAGAAAGAAAATGGTTATGATTTTCTAGCAATGAAGGTTCTTATTAATATGTGTAATATTTTCTTAGCCTTTCTATTACATCCTTTGTTTAGGTGAGCTTTGGTTTCTAGATTTTAGACATAGATTATAGATTTTTGATATTTGTTTTACTAACTATTATTTATTGTAGGTAAAATGATATTATATTTTGTAATACAGAATCATTGTTAAATGCAGTTATAATAGGAATATGCTTACAATATTACAGTTAACACACAAAAGATTAAATCCTTTTTGGGTCATGACCTCTCTTGTAGTATTTCCTTTGTCACTATACTTAACATTTTGATTTAGACTCTAAATATTTATGATCTGTGTTTTTTCTCAAGATAAAAATTTATTAGACTGCTTATCATATTCATGGGACTGCTAAATTCATATGTGTGTTAGGGTACTTTAAAGTGAAATAATTTCCAATGTATTGGCATGTCTGAAATAAGAATAAAATCCAGATTTGTAATTTTTTTAACTAAAAACTAATTAATATACATGTTTTTCTGCCTCATTCCTTTTAAAATAGAATTATTGAAGTCCACCTTAGAAGTTGAACCAGTTATAATATTATTTGTAATGGATCTGATGTTTATTTTGTTAGATAAAGGAATTAGATAAAATACTTTTGAAGGGCTTTCTTTCTGTTGATCACATAGACTATTGACATTTGTTTTTCATTGACCCTTATTTCCAACAGCAAAGGTATTGGAGAAGTTAATTATTCACTCAGTGAACATGGGCATCTTTCAGAACCTTTTATTTAAATTGAAATTGAGTGTGTGCAATAATTTCTTATTCCTATACAAATAAGGCCTTTCTACCTGGTTTTGATATTAAAAACTTCAAATTCTTATTTCCATCATCCAGCCAGCTATAGTTCACAGGCACACGAGTCCCCTTCTCATCCCATCTTCCAGTCTCTGCAGGCCATCACATTTCATATTGTCTTTGTTTATTATCACTTGCACTGTTATGTGTGTTATTCAAGATGATGATATACTGACTTTTTTTTAAGTTTATTTATTTTGAGAGAGAAAGGAGAGGGAGAAGGGAGAGCCAGAGAAAGAGGGAAAGAGAGAATCCCAAGCAGGCTCTGCACTGTCAGCACAGAGCCCAGTGCAGGGCTAGATCTCACGAGTAGTGACATTATGACCTGAGTCGAAATGAAGAGTTGGACACTTAGCTGAATAAGCCACCTAGACTCCCTCTTTAATGTCGTTTTAATGTTGAATATTACTTGTCTGTATTAAGGCACAGTGCTACAGATTCTATTCATTGTTTCTTCATCCAAAAAAAAAAGAACAAGAAAGCAAAAAACAAAAAAATCCTTTCGTTCCATCTTGAAAGAAAAACAATTTGTCTGCATTCTTATTTTCTCTTTTTCCTTCTCTAATAAACTTCCAAAGAATCATCTTTTGATGTCTTTACTTTATAAAATTCCACGTGCAGCATGACTCCCCTCCAACTTCACTAAAATTGCTTGTCTTCAAAGATCATGCATTTCTTCAAACACAGTTGTCATTTTTTAAAATTATGTTAACATCTCATGTTGTTACTTCATTGCTCTTTTTTTTTTTTTTTTTTTGAGCATTGATCACATTTTTCTTTGGAACTCTGTTATAATAATACTTTGGCTTCCCTCATACTTTTCTTACCAATCCTTTCTCAAGCTCCTTGAATGTTCTCTCACTTCCCCAAGGAACTACCCTCATCCTTTGTCTCTGGAGTTTTCATCAGTGATACTACAAAGAACTTTAACCTGTCACCTTTATAAGGTTGACTCTCGACTCTCGAAAATGTGGCTTATTTCCTTTCTCCACTCCATTTGCATCCTCCCACCTTACTTTTAATGCTGAACATCCTCTCATCATATGAAGCTGCACATAGCGACCCTTTCTTTTTCTTCCTTCTTTCAAGGTTTCATCTTTATTCCAGTGTGTTGACATACAGTGTCAATATTAATTTCAGGAGTAGAATTTAGTAGCTCATCACTTATATACAGCAACCAATATTCATCATTCCAAGTGCCCTCCTTAATGCCCATCACACATGTTCATCGCCCCACCCCCCTGCCCTCCAGCAACCCTCAGTTTGTTCTCTCTAGTTTCTTGGTTTGCCTCTCCCTTTTTTCCCCTTTGCTCATTTGTTTTGTTCGTTAAATTTCACATATCTGTGAAATCATATGGTATTTGTCTTTCTCTGCTTTATTTCACTTAGCATAATACTCTCTAGCTCCATCCACGTCATGGCAAATGGCAAGACTTCATTCTTTTTTTATGGCTGAGTAGTATGCCATGGTATATGTATATCATATGCACTTTATACATTCATCAGTCAGTGGACATTTTGGGCTCTTTCCATAATTTGGCTATTGTTGATAGTGCTGCTATAAATATTGGAGTGCATGTGACCCTTCGAATCCATATTTTTTATCCTTTGTGTAAATACCGCATAATTGCTAGATCATAGGGTAGTTCTATTTTAGTTTCTTGCGGAACCTCCACAGTTTTCTAGACGGGTGCACCAGTTTGCATTCCCACCAACAGTGTAAGTGGGTTCTCCTTTCTCCTCATTCTCACCAACAACTGTTGTTTCCTGTGTTGTTAATTTTAGTCATTTTGACAGGTGTGAGGTGATATCTCATTGTAGTTTTGATCTGTATTTCCCTGATGACGAGTGATGTTGAGTATCTTTTCATGTGTCTGTTAGCCATATGGATGTCTTCTTTGGAAGCATATCTATTCACGTGTTCTGCCCATTTTTTTAAACTGGATTGTTTGACTTTTGCATGTTCAGTTTGATAAGTTCTTTATAGATTTTAGATATTCACTTTTTATCAAATACGTCATTTGCAAATATCTTCTCCAGTTTAGTAGTTGCCATTTAGTTTTGGTGGTTGTTTCCTTCCATATCTATCCTTTTTTATACCAGCTTTTGGTCTTTATTGTCCTTATATTTAGTTAATGATTCTTATCATTCATGTTCTAACATCTTCTTTTAGTTCCTCCTTTCCATTATTTTTCTCTGTTTTGTTTCCCAGATATCTGCTGTTTGCTGTTACAGTATCTCCCCTGTCCTTCCTCCCTGATCCACTCATTTTTAACCACTTTAACCACATTTGCTGTAAGTTTTCCTACAGCCCCAGAAAAGTTCTCTTGCTTAAGCCCCTTTATCCAGTTTTTTGTTTTAATCACCCACTAAATAAAACCTCTCCTTCAACCTGACATTCAAAGCTAAGTATTCTGGCTAGTCTCAAAACTGTTTTCTTACCTTTACTCTCCCTATTTCCAACATGTAGTAGTCAACCTTGACTACTCCCTATTTCTTAAGTAAATTCACAAATTTTCTCCTTTCTATTATGTTTCTCCTTCCACTTGGAAAATTTACTCAAAACCATGTTCTAACGAATATTTCTACTTAGAAATATCTTACTCTCTCTCGTGCACTCAGTAAATACCACTGCCTTTCCCTTTTTTCCACAATTGCTATCCAGTTTCATTTAAGGATTTAAGAAATTACCCAGTTATTAGCCAGATTACTCCCTTCCTCCAGCAAACTTCCTCTGAAATACTTTGAAGCTTTCTTATAGATATGTGCCATTATTATATGTGTAGATCTCTTCTTTTCAAAATGTACATTCTCTGAGAGGAGGAGACTATATTTTATTAGGTCATTTTATTTTTTTGATCCCCATGGAGTCTAGCATCAGGATTGCTGTGCAGTAGAGGGTTAGACAGGATGTGCCCTATATAAAGGGTGCACCCCTGAAGGGTGGGCTCAGATGAGGACCAGAGGCCTAGAGGGGATGCCTTTTTCTGTTTTTCACATGTGCAGAAGCCCTGTCTACCCTCTTATATAATTGTCACATGTGTAATCAATTAATTCCAAACCTTATATGCAAGTCTTCTTGTTGCCTTGTCCTTACTGTAGTCTGCAAGTGGCTTTTTATTATGTCTTCTTATCTATTTAGTCTGTGCCATTTCCTCTCTGCCACCAATTTCTCAAAGGTTTCTCCTGTTACACATCCAGTTTAACCATCCCCATACATCAGATTCCTGCTGCTTTCCATAAAAAATTGAAGTGATCTAGTGTTTGCAGTATAATTGTTGTCATATGACTATGTTTACTTCTGAGTCATTCTTCAGACTGCTTCTCTTTTGAATCCAGGTAATTAAAACCTTAAACTATCTGAATTTCCCTTATTTTGTTTATGCCTATGTCACCTTCATTTTTTAATCCTTTGAATTTGTCATTCCTGCCTTTATGCTTGACTTTGTCATTTCTTTATATCTAAGATTCAAGTTATATTTCTTCTTATATTTTAGGTCGTTCTTCCCTCTTTCCAATAGATGATGGTCTCCTTGATGATGGTCATAATGATCAAGTTGGGGTTTTAAATTCCCCCACATGTTACTCAGCTCATCAAAATGGAGAACGAATAGAACGCTTCTCTCGAAAAGTTTTTGTTGGTGGTCTTCCTCCAGATATTGATGAAGGTAGGGTGACGATTTGAATTTAAAACAGATAAACAAACAGCTAAAATACGATGTGTGAATGGGTATATATAATTTTTTACCTCTAGAGATTTTCATTCAGAATCATCTCTGTTTAAATATTTTATCACTTGCTGAAATGTGAAATCGGTAATTGGACCCACTTAAAGTTTTATTCTTTGTCTGTTAAAATGTATATTGTTACTGTGAGCATTCTTTTTTTGTAAATAAGATTGTCATACAAAAATATTTTCTTATAAAACTTAAAACCTTTTGTATTGCCATAATACAACACACATGAAATAAAGGTAACCATGAAACTCTTCCTGCAGGGTGTGATAGTCAAAAGTTTAATTCCTTTAAGGATGAACAGACTCTTAGAAACAGATAAGAAAGAGGCAATAAAACCCCAAAGGGTAATGGAAACAGTATAAACAGGAAATTCAGGTTATATGAAGGCATGTATTAACATGTGTAAAAAATACTCATGTGTAATAAAAATAAAAGAAAATAATTCAAGGTATAGATTTAAAAATACTGAAACTGTCTAATGTTTGTGAGGTTGTGGAAAATTGGCCACTCTTATTCCCAACTAATAGGATATTGCTACACTTTGAGAAATTTTTCAGTTATGATTCAATATCCACAAACTTACTCTAAGGACTAATTAGTATAATAAGGTTTTCATGTGATGAAATAACCTAGACCATATCATTGGATTTGACCTATGTGTCAGTGTCAGACCTTAGTATTTTAGGAGTATGATAACTTTACATGTCTTGTTTGAGCAGAACTTTTCTTTCCCTATAAGATTTTACTTACCAAGCAGTAGCAGTCTCTTTATTTAACTTGATATGCTGTTGGCATGGTTTTCAAGGTAGTACTATTTATGGTTTGGTGTACTAAAATCCATTAGTATCCAGGCAATGTTATATAAAATTTTAAAACTCATACTGAATTGACTGCTCTGGCCAATGTGCTGCTTATAAATGAATTTATTTTGACTAAAATAGCTATTTAGTTCATGTATCCTTTTAGTAAGGATATTAGCTATGTTTCAAATTTTCATATTCTAGTTTATCTTAGGCTACTTGGTGCTTTCAAATATTAAATCTTTAACTTATACAGGATTTTTTTTAGAATGAACCATTAATACTAATTCCTAATGCATATTATTGTACTTTTTTAAGATGAAATAACTGCTAGCTTCAGAAGATTTGGGCCTTTGGTAGTAGATTGGCCTCATAAAGCAGAAAGCAAGTCCTATTTTCCACCAAAAGGTAAGAATTTGTATTGTAAATATTTTCTAGGGAATCAGTTTTATGAGAGCAGATAAGATATTGTCAATTACTTTGTGTTTCCTTTTAGAATTGAATATCCCTACACCTTTATATAAAACTAATAGAGTAATTTGTGAAAGCTGGTTATGTGTCAGGTGAGAAAGAATGGTCCTGGGGACTTTCCTTGTTTCCCTTTCAGCCAGTCAGGAATCATAAGACATTTGTTATGCTATTATATAAGGATATAATGGTTTGACAGTGATTCCAAAGACTCAAATCAGTGAATGTTTGAGTAATTTCTCCATCTGAAGCATCCTTCTAAGTAACTTGGGTACAGACATATAAAAAATGTGTTCCTCTACACAGTGAAATTGAAATCTATGTGAAGTGAGAAAAAATGTGTATAAACACATGAATAGTATAAATACTGCAAGATTTACTCAAGTGTTCCAAATTAGAGCAGATAACAACAGAGTAATACTCTGTTGGTGAATTTAGCAAAAGGAGAAAGTGTCTGCTCCAGAAACCCCATTATATGAAGAGATCACATGTGAGGAGGATACCTGGTTGAGCTAGTGACTTACTGCTAGGATCTGCCCGTGATGAGCAGGGAGGGGAGGGGAGAATTCAACATGAATCCAGTCAGGTTGCTAATGGCAGATTCTCTGAAGGTGAATAAAATGAAAGAGGGAAGTTGAGAAACGAAGACTTTTCTTTGAACAACATTGAAATACAATTTTAGGGGGAAAAACACTATCTTTCTCATGGCTGGATGAATTTTCAAGCCTGGAAAAGAGACTCCAGTAAACGTGTTAAATGGTCTGATTTTGGCTCTGGGAAAGGAAACATGTTAGATTAGTTACTGGCATATAAAAACTAGTTAAAGATTTCTGGTAATGAACTATATGGGCCATCTCCACTTTTTGTCACTGAGAAGTCTAGAACCTCCGTCACTAGTTCATGTAGATTTTTAGAGAAATGAAATAATTAAGTGATTCTTGTTTTACATCTTAAGATCTTAAAGAATCAAGAGTATCTTTTGAGTAGGGATTCTGAATCCCAGGCCACTCTAAGAATCTGATTAAAGCAATGTACCTTTTTCTATGTAAGCCTAAATTTTCACCCAGTTTTGGAGTTTACTGTACTTGGAGGTCCTGATGCTTGTTTTAGAAAGAAAATTAACTTCATATAGATCTAGACGTTCATTTGTTAGCTGAGTTGTAATCTGTTGTTGTCCATTGTTTTACTCCCTTGTCCTTTTATAAAACTTAACTGAGTGTTCAACAAAAATGCCAGTTAGTTTCCAGTGTTCTGCCTATGTTACCACTACCATGGCCCACTTCAAGAATGTGACTAGTCTGTCCATACCTCTGGCTAGCTCCAGTTTTTCTCCCACAGTACAGCTAGAATAATCTTCCTGAAAACTCATCTAATAGTGCTATTCCCTTGACCCTTGACTTAAAACCCTTCAGTGGTTTCTTTTATTGTTAGAAAAAAGGCAAAAATGCATTTGCCCTGCCCAGCCTCCCTATTTCTCTAGTTTCTTCTACCACTGTTGGCTTCTGTCTCCCATCTGGTTCTAAAAACTTGTACTTTTTTCCTCAGGGCCCTTATGTATGATGTTGTCTCTCCCTGAAAGCTCTTCTCGTGGGTCTTTATCTACTTACTCCCTGCTCAGCTCAGTTTAAATATTGGCTGCTCACAGGAAACTTTCAGGACCCACCTAACAGCTCACATCCTCCTGTCTTAGGCTCTCCCAGTACTGCTCAGTCCTTTCATACCACTAGTCAAAGCTGCAGTGATTTTGCAAATCCGTGACAATTTTACTAATATCCAATTCTTGCCTTAGTCTATAGGACTATGCCTTTAGTTATCTTTGTATTCTTGGTAATTCACACAATGATAATTGACTAACAAATGATATAAACAACAATAAATAACTGTAGAATAGAGAGAGTCCTTTGACCTGAAGTAGGTAATTAAGGCCTCACTGAGAAGTTTTGAAGAAAATCTAAAGGTAGACATCAAGGAATTGAACAACGTTCCAGAAAGGAATTGAAATACAGTTTAGAAAGGAAGGAGAATTGCTTTTTGTGGAGACAGGAGTACATTTTTGCCTGAGCTTCTTTTTCATATAACAGGATAGTGGACTCTAAGCCTGGAGAGAGGCGTTGTCACAAGTCTAATCCAACTGAATAGTTGCTGTCCTTGTTGCTCTTGTTGCCATTGTCATTGTCGTTGTGGTTTTTGTGGTGATGGTTGGTTTATTTTCTGAAACTGGAAAGCAAAACAAAACAAAACTCAAAAATGTAGCACTGGCAAATCACAGTTCTTTTGGTACAACTGTAGTTATTTGTCATCACCAAAGACCAGCGTTCCCAAGCCTTGTTCTCTCAGCAGTGTTGTCATTGCTGTAATTCATTTTCCATGGTTTGGAAAACACTGATATTCCAGTTAGCGAAGCTGCCTTGTAATTAAGGCAGCACCATGAGCCCTTGGATAGAGCCACATATGTACATGTGTTTCCTTTACAGTGAATGAGGCTCACCCTATGTGGGTATTAACTCACTGTATAGTATGTGTTTGGTAGGAGTATTTTAATACTAAAGGCTTTGCTTTAGCTAGATCATAAATTACTTGCCACACTGCTTAATTAGTTTTGTGATGCAAAAATTTCTTCCCTAATAATCAGGCAAATAATTAAGCAATATTAAGAACACTGAATGTAAAGTATTTCTTTAAAACTAAGTAAAATGAAAATATTAATATCAAAATTTAATATCACAAATCTTAACATTAAAAATACTGAAATTAAAATACGATTTTAGTAAATTGGTCTTATAACCTCTCAATTATTACAAAAGCTATAACTCTCAAATTTAACTTAGCTCGTATCAAAATTAAATAAAGCCTTCACTTTAAACCAGTTTTCATTTTTTATTTTCTCAAGTACATTTAAATTATTTCTAGCAAATGAAAAGGTCTGAGATGTTTTTTTTTTTTAATCTTGCATAATCAGGTCTTTGGAAGTTTCTATTTGCATAGGTTAGTTTGATGACTTATTTATGCAATCAGGTATTATAATTTTATTAAAATGAAGCACTTTTGTGTCACATCTGACCTTTGTGGCAATTACAGCCATTGTTGGCAATAAAGATGTGTGTTTTTATTTCAACGTAAAACATGACCTCACAGTTACCATTCTTTGTATGATGGAACAGATGTGCATGGCCTCCTGATGATTTCTTCATATTGGAACCAGATTACAGTTCTCTAGGTTCGTTTGCATAGAAATCTTACCAAGGCAAAGAAGTGTTTTTGGTCATTTAGTTCTCAACTTCTAGTAATCATGTAATGGTGAATTTGCAGTGTAAATTTTGGTACCTTCTTTTTATGATGAAATCTGTTCTGCTTAAAGATTGACCACTAGTTATCACAAAAAGAAGAGGAAGGGCATGTTTCCCAAAGGTAGAGGAAACTAAGCAAGAGCTTGGATCCAAAGTCCAAACATAGTCTCCAGACTATTTGAAAGGAGTGTCACTCCTCATCCAACTTGAGGCTTGATTTAAAGTTCTAACCCACGCCGAAGGAACCCATTTCATTACACCTCCTGAAGACAGTTTTCTTAGTATTCGAAGTGGTCTCGCTGACTGTGGACTTTTTCTCCTGCTAAGGGAAATTCGTGGGCCTTTCCAAGTATACGTTAGTCCCAAGTATGCTCCAGAACGTGTCTTACCCTGAGGGCATTGATAAGAATCTTCAGCTTCTAATATTCTCAATGTGTTAATCTTGCCAAGTTCTTTTTTTTTTTAACTTTTTTTTTTTTTTTTTTTGAGAGAGAGCGACAGAGCATGAGAGGGGGAGGGGCAGAGAGAGAGGGAGACACAGAATCCAAAGCAGGCTCCAGGCTCTGGGCTGTCCGCACAGAGCCTGATGTTGGGGTCAGACCCACAAGCTGTGATGAGATCATGACCTCAGCCAAAGTCAGATGCTTAACCGACTAAGCTACGCAGGTGCCCCACTTGCTAAGTTCTTTAAGAAGACAGTATGATGTGGGGGCTGTCCCGGGTTTGAAATTATTCCACCAGCTACTTGCTTATGTGACTAACCTTGGGCAAGTAATTTAGACTTGTTGTGAGAATCATATGACATAATTATGTAAAGTTCTTAGCACAGTATTGATAGCGACCACTCTATAGAAGATAGCTAATTAATGAGTATCTGTTTTTGTATGTATTCCATAGGATATCATGTTCTCCTTATAGAAAGTGTGATGGTTCTAGTTCTGTTTGACAGTTAATTTTTTTATTTCCAGTAACACGTATTTTCCAAACCGTACTGAAATTTGGGGTGAAATCACTTACGTTAACATAATTGTCCTATTTTTAATGGTTTTTACAGGCTATGCATTCCTTCTCTTTCAAGAAGAGAGCTCAGTTCAGGCACTGATTGATGCTTGTATTGAAGAGGATGGAAAACTCTATCTGTGTGTTTCCAGCCCCACCATCAAGGATAAACCAGTAAGTAAATACTATTTGAACTTTAGGCTACAAGTGCAAGTTTACCAAAAACTGTTTTGAGATCATTGTTAATGATAAAAAAAAAAAAAAAAAGTTAAACTGCCATGTTAAGGGTTATGTTTTTGAAAATCTGGGTAATTTTTAGTATCTAGATTTAAAAAATAAATGTTTTGAAATCCAGCTATCCAAACTTGTGAAAAATAAAAGGGCAGCTGTTAACTGGCACAAAGCAGCATAAGCTATCGAGGGAATAAGACCCATTGCAGTAATGTGATTTTCTTCATAGGTTCAGATCCGTCCTTGGAATTTAAGTGACAGTGATTTTGTGATGGATGGTTCTCAGCCTTTGGATCCTCGAAAAACAATTTTTGTTGGAGGTGTTCCTAGGCCATTAAGGGCTGGTAAGTAGAACGTTAAAAATGCGGCTTCTTTAAAAAATTTTTTTTTTATTATGAATTCAGTAAACATCTGGGAGCTGTTGTATACATGGCACTATTGGGTGGGCAGGGGGCAGATTCCTCATGTTCCAGTAGTTGCTCACTACAGAATTCTCAGAAGCATTCTTGAAACCATCAAGTCACTGGAGAAGTGGACATTTATCTATCAATATTAATAGTTAACTCCAAACAGACTCTATAAGAAGAATCAAAATGCTTCTGACTTCTTAAGTGTAATTCTCTAAGATAGAAGAATTTGAGGTCTGTTTGTTTTATGTGGGTTGATTCGGATATCTGAAGAAATACGGGATTTTTGAAAATAGTGTTTTGATAAGTAATAAACTTCTGTTTATCAGTAACCAGGAACTAGACTTTTAGCAGAAGATGTCAAATAGGAACATAATTATAGACATCAATGCCCACCATACAAGCATTTTCTGTGATCCCATATGCCCTGTGAAGTGTGTTAGTGCGTTCCACCACTGAGAACGTCCTCTTCCAGTATAGGAGATGCATGTTAAAAGAACCATTCACACATGTAAATACTTACAGAACATAACTGCTACAAAGAAAGACCACAGAGAATACAGAAGAGCATATAGCCCGGGAATGTGGTGCAATCTGATCTTTAAGAGACACTTGTATTTTAGCTGGCCTACAAGAACGGAAGGAGAAGAGTCGAAGTGGCAGGAGGGTTGTGAAGACTGTGTTTCACACAAAGGGAACAGCATGTTCAAAGATCATTAGTGGAGGGAAGCAGAATGCATTGGAGGAACTGAAAGAAGCCCAAAGTGGCTGACTAGGGGTGTAAGGAAGGAGGGGACAGACACAAAGGCATTGAGAATGTGAATAGGAATCTGGTCCTACAAGTTTAATAAGCTGATTAGGCATTATCCTCAGAGCCAGGGGAAACCAATGAAGAGTTTTAGATAAGTAGCTCGAGATACATTTTGGGGGCAGCTGAGCTGGGAGTAGATACTGGTAGATGATGTTAGAATCCCACCTTTGTGGGACAGGAGACAGATAATGGGAGCTTGGATAGGAGGTGGCAATGGTGAGAGATCAGAATGCACGCATGTTCATGTTCATTTGTGAGGTAAACACAAAGGCTGACTCTCAGCTTTCAGTCTTCAGCCACTACGTAGATAGTGAAATAGAGAACACTGAGAAGGAAGATTGTGGTCTTGGTTTTGAAAGCAAGTGTGTGGTACCATTTAGAGCTAAGTAGAAATTTCGGTACAGCCATTTGTATCTGATATCTTTTTTAAAAGAATTACTCTTGCTGCTGTTTTTAAAATAAATTTTGAGGGGGCTTGCTACTGTTTTGACTGTAAATCAAAAAGCAAAGAGATAAGGCTATTCCCACGATCCAGAGAGAAAATAATAATAGCTTGGAACAGGATGTTAGTGATGGAGATGAGATTGGATTTTAGATATGTCTTGAAAATCAAATTCATAGGATTACATGTACAGTGGGGAAAAAAGAAAATAGGATGAAACCAAGGCTCTTGGCAACTTCATCTTTTGTATTGCTTACCAGCTGAGTCAGCAAAAACTCATTGGAGCAGATTTAATGGCATGGGGGAATATCAGGAGTGCCATTTTGAACATACTGTATGATAAGGTCTGTTAAATGTCAATATGAGTTGTCCATGAGATGGTTGCATAAATGAGTTTGGAGTCCAGAGAAGAGGCCTGGGCTGGATATAGGAATTTAGGAGCTGGAATCCCATAGATGGTATTTAAAGCCATGACACAGGATGAAGCCACCAAAGCCACAAGCATAGAGAGAAATCCATGCACTGAAACTTAGGGTACTCTGACATTGAAAAGTCAAGGAGTGGAGGAGGAACCAGCAAGAAAGACTAAGAAGGAATTACAGTGAGGTCAGGAGGAAATTAGTGGAATAATGTCCTGGAAGCCGGATAGAGAAATAATTTCAGGGAGAAGGAAGAGTTTAACTATGTTCAGTGCTGCTTCCAGGTAGACTGACCATTGTACTTGGCAATGGCATGAGCGATTAAAATGGATTCATGGGGTTAAAGTCTGGTTATAAAGGGATGAACAAGGAATGGAAAGAGAGGGATTGGGTAGTATGAGAAAAGAAATAGCAGTTTGGCTCTAAAGGGGAGGGAGCGTAAAAACTAAGCACTCACTGAGAAAGAGAAAAATAGAGTTAAGAGATTTTTTTTTAAAAGATGGGGAATAACCCAGTATAGATGAAAACCTTGTGATACACGAAGGAGAGAAGAGAATTGCCAGGTAACTCTAGTGTTAGGTTGGGCCCCATATGCTGGTGAAAGGATTGGATTTAGAAAACAGCATGAAACTATCCTGTTGACTTTTCCTTTTTAAGAAAGAACTTAAATATTGATTTACAGTGTTGTCTCACATTTGATGGGAACTTCTTTTTCTTTTCAAGTGGAACTTGCTATGATCATGGACCGGCTGTATGGTGGAGTTTGTTATGCAGGAATCGATACAGATCCTGAGCTAAAATACCCAAAAGGTGCTGGTCGAGTCGCTTTCTCCAATCAGCAGAGCTATATTGCTGCCATCAGTGCTCGGTTCGTTCAGCTTCAGCATGGGGATATTGATAAACGCGTAAGTTGCATATTGGGAAATCATTTGACATCCTCTAATGTGCTGAGTCAGTAACATATAATTCAAACACTTTATTTTTTTATATTTTAATTTATTTTATTTTTTTTTTAATTCTTAGAGTTAAAAGAGTATTACATCAAAATATCTCTGGGGCGCCTGGGTGGCTCAGTCAGTTAAGGATCCAACTTTGGCTCAGGTCATGATCTCACAGTTCGCGAGTTTCAGCCCTGCATCGGGCTCTGTGCTGACAGCTCAGAGCCTGGAGCCTGCTTCGGATTCAGTGTCTCCCTGTCTCTCTGCACCTCCCCTGGTCGCTTGCTCGCTCGCTCTCTCAAAAAAAAAAAAAAAAATTAAAAAAAAATTTTTTAATATATATCACTGAAATGTAAAATCATTGAACATACTCTGAACTTTAGATACAATACTCGAAATATAAATGTCACTGTAAAAGCATGTCAAATTTTGTTTGTTGTTTTTATTTTTTATCCACCAGTGAAGTGTTGATATCCATCTTACTGTAGAGGCAGGGCTGGTTTTAAGAGCTTGTACCCTTGAGCCAGATTGCCCAGGATCCCATTTCCACCATTTGCTCTGTAATCCTCAAGAAATTAACCCTCAGTGTGCCTCCTTTTCCTCACTTATCAGATAGAAAGCAATAATAGTATCTCTTTCACAGTTATTTTGAGGATTAAATGAGTTCACCTATGTAGCAGCACTTAGAGGTTGGCCTGGTGAGTGTTATTTACGTGTTTTTATTTTTTATTTATCATAAAATTTAAAATAAAAATACACTTTGTATATTTCCCTAAATACACACAATAATAAACCTGCAAATAAACTAAACCTACAAAATAATTATCATATGGGCACCTGAGTGGCTCAGTCTTAATAAGCGTCTGACTCTTGATTTTGGCTCAGGTCATAATCTCATGATTCTTTGGTTCGAGCCCCATGTTGGCCTCTTTGCTGACCGTTCAGAGCCTGGTTGGAATTCTTTCTCTCCCTCTCTCTCAGCACCCTCCCCCTCTCAAAATAAATAAACTTTAAAAAACTTATCCTAAACTTTAAAACATTCACTGTTTAATAGCATTATTTAGGTCATCACAATAAGAACTTTTTAGGAAGCCCTATGAATGTTAACTAAAAGCCAGCCCGTTGAATAATTGCTAATTGCTAGCACTGATTACCATCCAAAATAGAGGAAAAGAGTGACCAAACTCAATTGTTCACTTACAAATCTGTTTCATACTAAAATCTCTTCATAGTTCCTATATATAGCTAAGTGGCATTCTAAAATAGTCATGGTTGCATTATAGTACAGATGAGATATACTAAGAATATGAGGTGAATTAGCTTTTTAATATCCAAATTAGTAGATATAACTTACGTGGATATTTATTATCCCAGTAACAGTTTCTTGAAGTTTCTTCTCCAAAGCTATCTATACATTAAAAGACTGTTTTGGAGGGGGAGCTGGTTAAGGAATATGGCTTGACTAGACCATGGATTCTAAAAGTAGTGTCAATTTAATTGCCAAGCCATCCCATTTAAACAAAAAGTACAGCATAGTTTGAGTTCATACATGCAAAGCTTTTTTGGTTTTTGTTTGTTTTTGCACTGTTACTTAAAATGTTGCAAAAAAAAAAAAAAGTGGAGGGTCTCTGCTTTAATTCCAACTTGCATGAAAAGTTGAACTGGAGTTTCTCTAATCCAGTGGCTTTCACCCTCAGCTGCATGTTAAAGTCACCTGGGAATTTAGAAAAATCTTGACATCTGGGTCCTTCCCCTCACTCCCAGATTCTGTTGTAATTGGTGGGGGACAGCAGGAATTTATAAAGCTCCCAGGTGATTCTAATGTGTGGCCATGCTTGAGACTACCTCTCTAGTCTAACCTTGACTTTTGAAGAGAAGTGATCCTGTTGACTGAGGAAATTACTTATACTATATGTAGCTGTAGTTATTTAACAGGCAGAAGCACAGGGAAAATTGGTGCAGGGTCAAACCTCATCCTTTTTTGTCTCCAAAATGATAGTGAAGGACCAATTATTTCGGGCAGAATATTGATTCTTAAAGAGCAACTCAAAACATATACATGCCTTCTTAAAAGGGTATTGAAATGTTTATTCTTTAGGGTATGTGTTACTAAGGTATATTTTGAACTCTATTTGAAATAATTTGAGGAGTGCCTGGCTGGCTCAGTCAGTAGAGCATGTGACTCTTGATCTAAGTAAGGGTTGAGTGTAGAGAGTACTTAAAAATTAAATCTTAAAATAAAAGATATTTGAGCCTTAAGAATTTTATGTCACTGGTATTGTTTATACCAAAAAACTATATTAAATAATTAACCTTTTATACCTTTCATGTCTCTACTATGAACATAGTTATGAAACCAGAAAAAGAGATTAATTTTACATTTATAACTGATAACCCAAAGATTTGGAGAAGATCGAAATTGTTTATTCAAGCTACTTTTTTGGCTCATGAACACACTGGGGTTTAATGCCCATCTCCCCAGTTGCTAGAAAGCAGTCACCACAGAGGTGTGTAATTCATTGTAATTTTTGTATGTTACTTATTCCATGAGTAATATCATTCACTGTGCCTTCTGGTACTTACCAAAGGGAGTTGTGTTATGCTCCAAGTTGGATAACTATTATTTCATTAATTATGACAAAGTATTACAGATAGGTTCTCTGAAGTAAAATAAGGAAAATCGCCATAATAGAAAATGATAGGTACAGAACTGATGAGACTCAAACTCCTCACGTATGCAAGAGATTAATTTTTAAAGATTATTAATCAAAAGTAGGGTTTGGTTATTCTCTAAAATCGTAAGTTTGAAATCAAATTTTCTATGTTTGAAGTTAGTGATTTTGAAGATGAGTAGATGAGCTTCATAATATAATATCTAGAATTTTAAAATAAAAATAACTGAAATCATTGCACTTTAAGATTTATTCAACAGTTTTACTTTAAGTCCTGAGCACCAGGCATTTTATGAGATTCTGTGGAAATGAAGTAAACAACACAGTGACACTCTGTCTTTAATTAGCTTAAAATCTTACAGTGAAGGCAAGAGATAAAATCATGAGAAAGAAACTTAGAAAGCACATATAAGCATACCACATTTCCTCAAATATAGTTTCTGCTTTGTGCTAGAGATTCTGCTAGCTCCTGGGAACTAAGAATTGAGCAGACGCTTTCCCCGTGCCCGTCTTGTTTATCATCTAGTAACGTGAAATCCAGTAATTCTCTTGGTACTTTGAGATATTCTTTGGTCATTTAATTATAGTTATGATACTATATCATATAATAGTTGAACGATAAAGATTGAGCATAAAAATTTTTTAATTAAGGTCATAGATCTTTTTAAAAAAAATTTTTTTTAACATTTATTCATTTTTAAGAGTGGGAGAGGGGCAAAGAGAGAGAGGGAGACACAGAATCCGAGGCAGGCTCCAGGCTACGAACTGTCAGCACAGAGCCCGATGCGGGGCTCGAACCCACAAGTGGTGAGATCATGACCTGAGCTGAAGTCGGACACTTAGCCGACTGAGCCACCCAGGAACCACTCAAAGATCTTTTTAAAAACCAAAAGCCAATGGAAAAAAAGTTTAAAATCTTTAACTGGCAAAGAGAAACTATCTTTTTTAAAAAGCCTCCAGCAGGAAAAGATACAGATAGTGAAGAAAAGCAAAATGTTCAGTGTACATAAAATATGTTTATCCAGCCCTAGTTCATGAAATGGAAATATAAACAACCACTTAATTCCATTACCTCTCTATCAAATGTTTATTTTACAGTTCTTGTCATCAACTTTTAGATTTTTTCCTGTTTGTTGTTGCTGTTGTTACAAATAATGCTTCAGGAAATACCCTTATAATAGTACCTGGGTGGCTCAGGTCATGATCTCAGTTTATGGGATTGAGCCCCACGTGGGGCTCTGTGCTGACAACAGAGTCTGCTTGGGATTCTCTCTCTCTTTCTCTGCCTCTCCCCCACTCACATGTGCGAGTACACACACATTCTATCTCAAAATAGATAAACATTTTTTTAAAAAAAGAAAATACCCTCATATACTCATTTTCTCCATACCTGCAAGTATTCACACATTCAGAATAGAAATTGTTGGATCGTTATTTTTTACCTTGAGCAAGCACTACTTTACCTCTAACCAAGCCCTTGAAACACTCAGTTTTCCCTCCTGTCCTCAGGAAAGGCTGAGGCCTGAGGCTGCCTGGCACTGTCCAGTCAGACAGAGGTGGTGGCCCTCCGTGTGGAAAGTTATTATAGCAGGCAGCACTGGGGTACAGAGTCTGCTGTGTGCCAGGCGCTGTCCTAAATGCTTTTACCTGTGTAATCTAATCCTCACAACTCTGTGAAGCAGGTTCTAGTATTTTTCTCACTTGACAGACGTGGAAGGTTAAGAGGCGTAGCGCTCCGAGCAGAGTCTGAGGTCTTCTCCTGAGTCAGGCCTTCTCAGTGTGCTTTTGATTTTATGTCTTAGAAATTCACCAAAGTCTAGACATGCCCTTAATGAGATTATTCACAGTTCTGGTCTATGTGTGCCAAGTAGTTACTAGCAGGGTACAGACAGAAGTGCTGCCCTGACCAGCAGTCGTGTAGGGTTGAGCTGGCTCCCAGGTGGTATTGAAAACCATTCATCTCCATGCCCTTCTCTTTCTCACTCACAATCACCACCGCTGCCCCCGCAAATATTAACACACACTTGTTTTAAAGATGGTACTCCACCAAGGTGAGGGCAGAATGTTTTATAAATCAGTTAGATTTATAATATTAACTATCTTTGAAAAACATAGGTAAACACCACTCAGTTTATAGTCCTCTGAAGAACACATCAAAATAAAATAAAATTACCAAATTTAAACTAAGTGCTCCTTTAATCACGTGGATATTTATGAACATGAAACATCTTATAAAAAGATGACCAGTGCAAGAACAGAGTCACTTCATTGTTGTTTTGTTTTGTTTTGTTTTGTTTTTTCCCCACGACATGGGAAAGCTCTTTCTCTAGGAACCTGCCTACTTTCTCAGTGTTAAATGCTGGCCCTTTTCTTGAGGACTCTGAACATTTTAAATTCTCTAAAATGATTTCTGAAGCAGCTTTCATGGGACATCTTTTTCCCTCTTGTTCCAGGTGGAGGTGAAGCCATATGTGCTAGATGACCAGATGTGTGATGAATGCCAGGGCGCGCGCTGTGGTGGAAAATTTGCTCCCTTTTTCTGTGCCAATGTCACTTGCCTGCAGTATTACTGTGAGTTTTGTTGGGCAAATATCCACTCTCGCGCAGGACGTGAGTTCCATAAGCCATTGGTAAAGGAAGGTGCTGATCGCCCACGTCAGATCCACTTCCGCTGGAACTGAGACTAGCACACCGGCCTCTGTGTAACACAGAAAGAAAGGGTGCATGTGGCTTACTGTGTCTGAAGACGCGACACGCGGAAGAAATAAGTGCATTCTTCTGCTCTCACCCCAGCTACCAGTACATGCATCTTTATCAGCAGCCAAAACACTACAAGCCTCTTGTGTTTCACCAAAACCCCACATCTCAGGCTTACTAATTTTTGTGATATTTTCATGTTAAAATAAAATGTTTTTTTGTATTTTCTCCAAGTTATTTTTATATGTAAAGTTAAAATTAGATACGAGAATGTTTTGCGTAGGGGCAAACAGTCTGCTGCTATATAGTGGGTGAAGTGTGCACTTATTTCTAAACGTGGGTTTTTAACTTCAAGATCTGCCCCAGTAATTTACCAAAGGTAGCAAAATAATAGTGAAGATGGAATATGTCTGCTACAAATGCTTATTTTTATTGTTGCTATTTTCAGTGTATACATAAACTAAAAATTAGGGTTGATTTTTTTGCTCTCCATTTTGACTTGCAAGAAATAATACCTCAAGATAATCTGATTTATTAGCTATTTTTAAACATTTTTAATCACAAGCTGTATTAGCTTTGCTGCTATATAGGTGTTATGTGTAAATGCCACCTATTAATACGGGATTGAAAACGTTAGAGACACACTGCATTGCAGACAAAATGCAGGCAGCACAATATGGCCTAAACTGCCATAGTTTTAGAATGTGAAAAAAAATGCATGTTTACTTACCTGTATACACCTTATGCATGCACTAGAGTTATTAACTTATAAGAGGTGAGGTATTGCAAATGTTCAAAAAAGCTCTCTTGAATCTAGGTAGCATGAACAAATTATAAAATTTGTTTAAAAAAAGCAAACTTGCATGCATTATTGTGACTTCAAGTTAAAAAAATTGTCCTACATGTGTACAATATGCAAATTAGTTTTAGATTAGAGAGTGCAGCCATTTTGTGATCTGGTCGGTAGTGGAATTCGATTTTATGCAGACTGGATGTAATATTTGTAATCCCTGTGCAATTTTGTGATGTGCGGTTCTAATTCATGTGCAGTGATATAGTATAGGTAAAAGATTGAAAAAAGAAAAACACTAGAATTTTAAAGAAGGTTGATTTTAGCCCCTTTGATAGTTCATGGTTAAGACATCCTTTATAAACCAAAGATGGCCAGCACACTGCTAACCAGTCACCAAATGTAAGACCCACAGGAAGCCCATATTAAATAAATGATCTTTATAGAAGAATGCAAAACTTTAGTAAACCTAAGTAAAGTCAAAATGGAGATGGGGAAATATACAGATGGCTAGTTGCATAAAATTCAATTTTACCTTAAAGACAATGGTGAAATCTGGCTTAAACTTGCTTACATGTTTGACCTATGTACATTGGGGTCTTCTGTCTAAACTGGGGTCACTGTTGCATGGAACATTGTTGTTCTTAATGGTTAAGAATTGCTTTTCTTTAGATTTTGATGAAGGAATTTTGGTAATGACTTTGCTTGCAGTTTTTTTGAGAAAGTGGCATGGAGACATGCCGTAGTTAATGAGTTTCTCTTGGTACTGAACACTATTAGAATATCGTTAGTGATATTTTTTCTCTTTAGAGCATTTTTAATGCAACTAGCCATTATATTTTAACGTAGAAGTTACTCTGCAATCTAAGCAAAGCACCCAACAATGGTGGATGTTTTTAAAAGAAAATGTGGAACTAAGGTTCTTGACTCTAAAGAGAGAAAATTACAAGGGTGTTGCCTTATCGCAGCCCCTTGGGACAATCCTTCACGTGAGCAAAGTGTTGATCTTATTATCGGTTGTCTCTGGTGTGCTTTTTTGTACTGTAAAAATATGTGGTTCATGTCTAACTCTGCTGTTTTATTGTGGTTGTGGTTCCAGTTTTTAATGTTTCAAGTTGATGCTGTTTTCAGAAGAGCTTTTTACTAATTTATTTGTCGATGTTCCCTATTTGTTACTTAACCATGATCCTCCAGATTTTTGGAGTATTCTTTTCTAACCTTAACCCTGCCAACCTTGATCCATTTGACATTTGTTATGCACTATTTTTATATCTCTGTGAGAGATTTTTCCAACAGTCAGCTATTTTATGGCACACTTTTTTTGACTGATGACATCTCCTTTGCTATACCTCAATTTTTGGAATTTAGAAAAGAAATCAGTAGTTTTGCAATGTTAATTATTTAGATATTTAATTTCGCAGATTTTTTAACTTTATTTTCATAATTTCTGCTTACTGTTTAAAATTGAAGAGCCTTTTCATGTATTAAATAATGAACACTAAAACAAATTATATGATGAAAATGATTGGAGATGTTGAAAAATCACTTTCCCTTCTTAAACAGAAATAAGTATTGGGAATGAAGGGAAATGAAACAGAACCCCTTTTCGCCACGGGTAAAAACGGCAGAAATGTATGGTTTGTTTTACCTTCATTTCTGTTATAGTTAAAGCTTGTCCGTCTAATCTTTCGTTCCTTCCCCACCTCACCCCTACCTCTTCTTTTTTTTTTTTTTTTTCCTTTTATGTACTACATTCTTATTTTCTAACTGTTAAACACTGTATTGGAGTTTTTTTTTTTAATTTACAGATCATATTTATTTTACTATTTTTGTAGAAAATTATTAATTTTGATTGTATTTTTGTATTTTCAAAGCTTCTTCATTTGTGTTCCCTAAATGTTCATATTGCTGCCCAAAAGTATGACTGTGGAGGAAAAAAAAAACTTTAAAAATCCACACTTTTTGTTAAGAAGGAAACATTTAGCATTTATATATTTGTGTATGGAAAACACTTGATATTTTATCCCTGTTGCATCTGGCTGCACAGAGCCTCTCCTCAAAGATGCTACAAAACTTGAATATAACACATTTTGGAAGGCTGACTAACCTCGATTCTGTGTTGTGATGTGCAATACTGTTTCTAATGTTTGTATAAAAAAAATAACAGTGTAAACCTTTTTAATGCAAATTTATTTTTTTCATTGCATATTTTGCAGATTTTATCCACAGTGTCATTTTTTACTGTCAGAAAAGATACCCCTTTTGTCATTGCAACTATTTTTTAAATCCAGAAATCTTTGTACTGATGTAAATGATTGTAGTTATTTTGGATAGTGTTTTGCTAACAAAAGGAGAGACTTTTTTCATGCATATTTCTATTTTGTTTTTTTGGGTTTTATTTTATTTTAATAGTAGTAAAATACTTGGAATAATTTTTCATATTCTTGTCATTAATATTATTTTGTATTTTTATGTGGAAATATATAATTTTATGACACTAATTGCTAAAGTTTATTTTATGTTGAATTATTTTTGGAGCTGAAATCTTTGTAATATTAAAGCAACTAGTTTCTAATTCCCAGTTTCTGTATAGAATCGCACAAGTGGTTTATGGAGTGTTTGGATTGTAATTATAAATGGTTCTTTGATATGCAAATTAATATTTTGAGTTGATTTTATTTTATATTCCTAATGGGGTGTTAAAGCCGTTTTTTATTTTTTTCTAAATAAAAAGAGAACCCATGCTTTTATGGACACTAGGTAAACGCCTTCAGCTTAAATTTTTTCGTTAAAATATTTTAGTTTATTTTATTGTTATCTTCCAGATGTCTAAATCTCCAGTCTGTCTGTTGTACTGGTAATTTAACTCTGTAATGGAATAGTTTGCTGCCAACTATTTATATTAAGTAATTTTTAAATATTTGTAATATTGTTGACTGACTAATAAACTATTAAGTTATTGGCATAGTTGTGGAATCTTGTTCTTCACTTTCAGATCTACCAAAATACTCCCCGAGGCCTGTAAACTCTTACTTAGAGAGGAATACATTACGCAGCGCAGGCCCCTCTGCAGCTCAGCGTCAGAACGGGGAGGGCACCTTGGAGACCACGTAGCCCAGGACTTTTCAGTACTTTGACCCCAGACACCCCTGGCATCAGTTCTCCTCCCCACCCGCGCCCTTAGCCCCCACGTACACTCCATAGACATTCTGGTGTGGAGGAGTCCTCGTCCCAGATCGTCAGCCTTCCCATCACTAAAGTGACGCTGCAATCAGACAACGAAAGCCAACTGATCACTTTGCCGTAAGTGCAGTTTCAAGGATGCTTCTGCAGATGCCCTCCAGTTAGAAATCATTTACCATTTTTCTACTTGTTTCCAGCACAGCGTATGAGTTCTTTCATGGTTCCATTATAGAGGGAGAAGAAGGAGAAGGAGACGTAGGAGTTCCTCATCCTAATGATCGCTAAAAAAGCTCTACTTTCCACTTGAACAAAGTTGGAATTCTACTTAAAGACTGGTGTGCAGGCATGGGGGTGGAAGGTTTCATTGCTTTTTGTAGAAAATATTGTAAAAATCACTGATTATAATCAATTTCTTGGCTTTACCTAGGAGGACATAGGTACCCCAGAGAGGCTAAAACGTAGGGTCTCCTCATATTCTCCAGGATGTGACAGAAACTCCTTCAATGGGCTGATCTTGGCATTATGAGCACCTCCGAGCCTGTCCCTGTCACCCATGCATGTCCTGCAAGCAAATCCTGCATCTCCACATACCTGCATCTTGGCGTATGCTACCGGTTTTCTATTGGGAATCTCACTTCCTGCTTGCCCAATGAATCTCCTTCCATAACAAAAACAAAAGGCCTCCTCTGCCTTCTGGCCTATCTTTAAGACTTAGCAGGAATTTCTCATGGTCTTTACTCCCCTGTTGCTGACGTGACCTAAAGATTATTTATCTTCCTGTGCTCCTCATCGCTTTGCTATTGAAGAATAAATTTTGAATATTTACCAAGTGTTGGACACTGTGCAGGATCCTTGGATGCCAGGCCATTTTATAGCCTTGTAGGTGAAAAACCAGGTCAATTCAAGTCAAACTCCGTGTAATATGAAGTATAAAATACACCATAGTTAATATGTAGCAAGGGCAAAGGGAAAGACTGCCAAAGTGATTTCCTGGCTTTGAAATGATTTACTGAAGAATTTCTCACAAGAGTTAGCATTTGGAGTTTTTGTATAAGTGAAGAATTAAAAGAACTCCTAACTTAGTCCTCAAACTATTTCTTAGAAAAATCCTTGCAGATCTATTCACCAAAAAGAAGGAATAGCAAGAAAGTAGCCCAGAATCAGGGAGACATGTGTTATTCTGATTTACAACATCTATTTGGTCTTCCTTCTGTTTCTGGCACAGAGCTCCTAAAATCCTTGAAATTTCCTAGGTGATAAGAAGGATAAAGGTGTCTTGATATTAGTAATAAACCCCTCAACCACACCTGAGTTGGTTAGAGAGGTGACTTTGGGAAACAGGGAACCAACCAACTTTCAGTTCCACCCGTTCACTCACCTCCAGGAAGAGGACTGGGACTGGAGGTTGAATGGATCACGCCAAAGTCGTGAAGCTTCCATAGAAATGCAAAATGACAGGGTTCAGAGAACTTCCAGGTCAGTGGACATGTGCAAGTTTGGGGAGAGTAGCTCAATTCAGAGAGGGCATGGCAGCTCCACACTCTTTCCTCATACCTTGCCCTATGCATCTCCTCCATCTGGCTGTCACTAGGTTATAACCGTTTAAAAGAAACGGATACTGAGTCAAACCCAAAGAGGAGGTTGTTGGACCTCCAATATATCTATAGCCAGTTGGTCAGAAGCACAGGTGACAGCCTGGACATTGATGTCTGAAATGGGAATAGGGGTGAAGTCTTACAGGACCAAATCCTTAATCTGCGGCATCTGATGCTATCTCCAAGTAGATAGTGTTTGAATTGAGTTGAACTGTAGGGCATCCATCTGGAGTCAGGGTGGTGTGTTGAAAAAAAAACCACGCAATTTGTGTCAGAATCATAACATGGGATAGTAGATAATGATGTGAGTAAAGATACCCATTTAATGTATAGTTAGGAAGTACAATGTGGCTAAAAAATTTAACATAATTTGCAAATAAGCCCAAATAGTAGAGACATAATTTAAAACATTATCAAGGTAATATGAAAAGTCAAGATAATTTAAGCAAAACAGAGCAAGTCCCTGATGAACATTTGAAATGATGACAAAGGTCTTGTTTGGAGTGGAGGAGGAGAGATTATAGATGTTGATTAGTTTATTGTAAATAACTTATTTTTCAAAATGCAATATATAATATGTATATGTTTTTTAAAGTGAAATATATAACTCATGCAAAGTAAAATATTGCCCCACTCCCTTCTCACCCCCAACTGATACACCCGAGAGGCAACGACTCCAAGTGTTAACACTTTACATGTTATTCACCTCCTTACATCTAAGGAGCTCTTTGCTTTTTAGTTTAAAACTTTGTTGACCTCCTGAAATGTGCATATTTTGTTTCCAGACACACCCCACTCATGTACCTAACATGTATACTCAAACTAGGCTGTTCATTTTGTGAATAATTTGTCACATCGATGTTTATTACTTGCACAATTTTCTGTAGGTTTCATACCCCGCTAAAAAGTTTCTTTTTAAAAGGGCAAGAAAACACCCTTACTTCAATAGAAAGGATGAGAGAGAGAAAGGGTCATAGCAAAAAAGGCAAAAACAGAATCAGAGAGTTTCCATGGTAACTGAATCCCAGGTCTATAGGATTTTTTAAAATCTTTTTGTGAAATGTAATGCACACATGGAAAATGGATTAAGCATTAATTGGCAGTATGAATAATTTTAAAGCTTTTGTCAACAAATAAAACTGTTGAAAGCAAGGACTCAAACAGATATTTATTTGTACATCCATGTTCATCACAGCATTATTCACAGTAGTGAAAGGGTGGATGCAGTACAAGTGTCCACCGATGGATGAATGGATAAAGAAAATGTGATAGACCCATACGGTGGAATATCATTTGGCCTCACCAGGCAAGACATTCTTACACAGGGTACAACATGGTGAACCTTGAAGACAGGATGCTAAGTGAAATAACCAGTCGCAAAGGACAAAGCCTGTATGATTTCATCACAAGAGGTACCCAGAGGAGTCAAATTCATAGAGACAGTAGAATGAGTGGTGATTTTTCAGGGACTGAGGACCAAAGGAAATGGGCGTTACCATTTTAATGAGTACAGAGGTTCAGTTGGGGAAGATGAAAGAATTTCTATAGATGGATGGTGGTGATGTTTGTACAACAGTGGAGATTACTT